AAAAAAAAAAAAAAAACAAAAAAAGATACTTGTGAGAGAAAGTATGTGTGTTTAATAGCAATTTTTCCTCATGGCTTCTAAATGTAGAAAGAAAAAAGCTTCTATTACAATCTCGACTTTAATAAAATTTCATTATATCGAAGCTTCAAAATATAGAACTATTAGAGTAGGTAATACAAAGAAAATGTATAATGAAAAAGACAAGAAATATTTAAGAGTTTGACAGACTTTCATTACTAATTGAAAATGGGAGGAACCAGGAGAAAAAAAATCAAGATTAGTTTATCTCCCAATTTTTTTTCATCAATAATGAAGAATCAAAGATGACTAAGAAACTAGAAAAATGCTAACATTTCTCCTAAGAACTCAGAAATCTACAAGTCAGTCTGATTTTAGGAAAAACATGAGTTATTTTGATATAGGTAAGTTGAATGTGAGGTGACAACAATGTTCATAAGAAAACTTCATGCAAGATACCATAAGGACAAACATTAGGATCTAAAAACAGAGGTGATAATCCTCCACACAGAGATTAACATTTAAGCCTTGACAGGAAACTAGGTGTGGGGTACGGGAGTGAGAAATCTAAGGCTTAAACCTTAAATAATTTTTAGAGGTAAATGGTCAAAATAAGGGGTACTAGAATAGTATTTTATTATATGCTGCTACCAAGAAAAAGAAGAAAGAAAGAAAAACAAAATAATGACAGAAAGTATGAAACCACCCATTAGAGTCTAGCAGCCTAGTTTCAGTAAAGTGAAGGGAACTAATAGCTAGGCACTATATAAGTGCTATACCTTACCTCACTCAATATAAAAATGTTTGAGGTTGATTATTACCATTCCTATTTTTTATATAGATGAGGAAAGTGTTCGTCCAAAGTCATTTGCTCAAGACACAAGGCTAACAAAGTAACTGAACTGGATTTTGACTCCAAATCTCTATGCTTTTTTCACAGCTCCAAAATGCACCAGACATAAGAGCATAACCAAATAATCATCTAGAAAAATGATGGGTAGACAGATATAAAAGTGAGCCAAGTAAGTATGAATAACTCTTCTGTGACATAGGTGAGGAGAATAAGGAAGAAACCAAGGAGTAGGCAAGCACTCTGAGAGAAAGCCATGCAGAAAAATGACTACCATTTCTGGCTCCTTATTTCTCTAGTATTGACATTAACTCCTAGACCACAGAATGTAGCTAAGAGTGAAGAACAATATAGGGAACGGCATCTTCCCTAGATTGTAAGAACATACTTAAGGCTACATTTAAGGGCAGATAAAATTTGGAATAGTGATCAAAATTAATCTCAGCACATTAACTGAGTATGTATCTTCGTTTTTAAAATATATTTTATCTACATGAAAAGTTGATGTAAGTCACAAAAGTAGTATTTAAAAATTAGAACTCTCTAAAAATTGATATTTCATTTCTCATTCTTATTGAAACCGACTTTAAGCAATAGCCTTCAAAACCTTCACTCTTGCCAAAATAATGTAAAATCTTGATCTTCATTTCACCAAGAGTAGTTAAACAGGGAGGCAGTTTATGGTATAGAGTATTTAAGTACACAAATAAGGTTAGTTTCAAACACTGATTCCCCTATTTGCTGACTAAGCATGAGCAAGTCCCTTAATTCTCTAAGTATCGATTGTAAAATGATGATGATAATGATCTCCAATGATTCTACTTGCTAGGACTGACTGTCGGACTAAATAAATTGATGTATATATGTATACCTCATAGCATAGTATTTGAGCACAGAGTGTTAACTCTCATTTTAATCCACATTGTTATCAGATTAAAATTAGAAGTAAACAATGCCTCCTTTAGAATACTTAAAAAAATAAAATTAATCTAATAGTTCTCTATGTTAAATTTTTTCCATAAATTCAACAAATTATAAACAAAAGAAAAATTTCATTTTCTCTTATCAACTGTCTGAACCTAAAGATCTAAATATGGTTGTAACCCAAACTAGTAGCTTTACAATGACATACCAATCTTATACACAGGAAAACAGGAAAAGAGAAGTAACATTAAGCACATCACCTATATTATCTAACTATATTTAATGATTAACAGGATATAAGGATATAAGGAAGTGGGGCCCACCTTGGAACTGACAGTTTTAGACAAAGAGGATGTGTGCAATGGGTCCAGAGGAACATTACGGCCAAGGGACTCAAGGATCCAGGCAAATAAAGCCTTGTACAACAGAAAGGTTGACACAGAATTTTTATAACACCCAAAGTTACCATTTTCTAGTACACACACACACACAATGATAATAATGAGAGAGGTAGAGAATGTGTAAAGACATGAGTATGTTGCTCATTTGGGCAGGGGGTTGTTAGTTCCTTTTGGGGACACTAGCCAGTTTGGATATTATGCACTTTATATTCTTCTTGGGCAAACACCTGAAGTCAAATCTTTCAAGATCTGCTAAATAGAAACACTTGAATATCCCAAGGCCTATTCCAAGGTTTGAACACTGAAAACCAGAGGGGTAAATAAAAAAAAAAAAACAGAAGGCACAATCATCGGAATGTCCCCACGAATGAGTCTAATCTTAACACCATCCCAAAGACTTTTGCTGGCACAACTGGGAAGAATTAGGGTGCCTCAAGATAAAAGGCCTGAGAGCTCTAAAGGACGGTCTTTTCCAAGACACCACAGAACTAAGTCTTATGGTCTACAAAACATAAATGCTTCTTTTATGCCAATCTTTAACAGATTAATGGAGCATATTCTCAAATATCAGATGGAGACCAAGTTACAAGTCACAAGTTGGTATCAGAGAATATAAATGGGCCCTTTACTTTCATTACCGTTTTCTGGCTAAAACATTCCTTTCCCCATCCATAAGAAATGTCAAACAGAAAAACTTACAGGCTTTTCAAAATTGCTCTCCTTTTCAGATGGTATTTGTAAAGTAGGTTGCCAGTGCAGGGAGCTATCACACATCTCTAGATCATCAAGCAAATTTTCTAAAGCTGCTAGCTCAATGTAATCACCAGTCAAGTCACATTGGTCATGTGTCTGGGAAATAGTAAAAAGTAACATAAAAACAAACAATGCCATTTCCTAAAACAATACCGGAAAAGACCATGTTTCCTACAACCATCATTTTATTGTGTCTCACCTTTCTTTGTAGTTCAGTAACTCTCTCACCGCACACAACAGCATTTTCATAATGGCTACAGCTTTCAGCAGCAGCATCTGAAGTAATGACGTCAGACTCAGTCTTCCCCTGCAGGCCCTCTACAAAATAGGAGTCATTCTGCATAATTGTATGTATAGTAAAACCGAACTCAGTTCCCACAGGCCGAGGAATTTCACCATGGCCTGCATCAGCTTTCAGCATTGTCTCTTGGCCAAATGCAATTGATGCATCACTGGTCGGTGGTAAAGCACCTTGTGATTCTGCATCATATGCCACCAAGTTTGCTGAAAAGCTGCTTCCTACAGCTATAGGTGGACTTTCAATGGCATTACTAGAGTTAACATCCTTACCCAAATTATAGTTTGAGGAATCTGCAACTTCTCCAAAGGTTGGCTGCTTTAAATCTTGTAAAACCAAAGAATCTGAAGTCGATACTTTCATATAATAATTAATGTTTGAAGATCCTACCTTCTCTGCAAGGTCAAGAGCAGGAACAGACTTTATCTTCCCAATGGGAAGAAATGGTTCATTGTTTATATCACACTGAAATAAAGCTGACTGTGTTTTGCCAAGACCAACAGCCTGGTTGTAAGATTTTTCACTTAAAGAAGCAGACGACTTAAGCTCTGGAATAACAGGAAGTGGCTTAATGAACATTTCCTGAGGAGCATTAGGGGGTGATTTTAAATTTGGATGCTGGTATAGGGAGCTATAATCATCATCTTTTTTATGTAACAATGGTTTTGAAGTTTCTGGCTCAAATACCCCAGGAGTAGATTGATAGCGTGGATGCTTAAGCTTATCAAAGAAAGAGTTTTCATCATTATAATTTAATGGGGAAAGATATGAATTTTTTGGTTCTCTCTCTTGGCTGTCATTCGTTAAAGATTTATTGATGTCAGTTTGGATTTCATTTACTGTACTCTCTTTCTTGGAAGGCTCAATAGAGGCAATAACTGCCTCAAAGGCTACATTTTCAGTAGCATCAACATTTTTCTCACCAAAAACAGAGGTTGCCTTTTGTTTTCCTTCCTCTTGAAAATACAGTTGTTCTGATGTCTCATCCAAATGGGATTTAACAGTTTGAAGAGGACCAGCAGAAGGCTCCACTTTAGAGATATCCTGTCCCCTGGAGAGTATATGTGCTTCTGAAACTTTTACAGAATTATCAGGAACTACAACATTCCCAATATACTGCATTTGTGAGGATCTGGGTTGCACCTCTGAAGATACTAACTTATTTTTAGTCTCTGTTTGTTCAAAGCATTGAGATAATTCCTCCAGCAGACTTTCTTCATCTTTTTCATAACCCTCCAAAGAATCCATCTGTTGTTTCGCCTCATTCCCAGCTGGAGTTCTTAAACAAACACTCTTAAAATAATGACTATCATACGTCGAGGGAACCCCTTTTCCTCTTCTTTCTAACAAACATCGCAAGAAAGAATATGACATTTTATTACCATGATGAGGAGCAACTTCGTGTGGAGGAGAAACACAGTCCTTACTGATTGCACATGTTTCTGGATGGTGTGGAGTTTCCTCGTTGTTCCATGGCACACAGGAAAAGGGAACACTAAAATTGTTACTTTCCTGGGGAATTTTATTGTCATCAACTGTGTCAGATGAATCGGAAAAAGAATCATGGTCCTTGCTGGTTAAATATGTTTCTCCCTGCTGTAAAACTCCCTGTGTCCAGTACTGTGCATATGAACAAGAAGCATCAAAATTATTGCTTCTGTTAGTATCTATGTTTCCATCAGTTATATCAGATGAAGTTGAAACCGAAACTTCATCTTTATTGGTCAAATTGCTTTCTGGCTGCTGTGTATCTTTTCGTGTCTTCCATGACATATATGAACAAGGAGAACCATAACTATCAGAGACTTTGGGGGTTTTCGGTTCATCAACAGTACCAGATGAAATAGCCTCTTCATTATTCCCTTGTTCAGAGGGTAAAAAAGAGTGCTGAGACCCAACAGCTGCGCTACCTGTAAGTGTGTGCTGAGATACACTAAAGCAACTGTTAGTTAAGTCTGAAGTTACTTCTGAGGTAGCCTGGAATAAAGCTTCACTAACTTCCGATGGTCGAGAAAGCCATTCGGTGTCTTCAGATCTATCAGGAATTCCCCTGAAAATATATAGTTAAAAATACATAACACATTAAAAACATTTAGTACTAACACAAAAACATAAAACTGATATGTCACCGAAATCAAGTTTATTTGAAAAATGTGTTGAAAAAGAAAAGATCTCCTAATTTCAAATTCCCTTAAGGTGGTTAATGATGGGACAAAGCAGATTTTTAACCAGAAGGTGAACTACCATCCTGTGACCCTGATAATTATCTCAGGCTTCTCCCAAAACAACAGACAAAAGAATCTGATTTTCATAATGCCAAAAAAAATGATTCTTTAAATGAAAAATTCAAAATAGTCTTTTAAACTTTACTATTTTAAATGTTTAGTTTATCACCTACCATGATTTAATACTCATTTAACCTGCATCAACTGTTTTGCTAGTCATTCATTATGCTCTTGAAAACCACTCAAGAAATGATCTACTCCCAAAATACAATACTAACTCAATCATTGGTTGATGATCTAATATGTATAGATCACTTTTCACAAAAGTAATTAGAAAGTAATATATAGCAAAAGGGTATCAAGTCTTAATTTAGGGCCTTATTTCCTTCAGAGCATGTGCCAAGAACATCTAATCCCCACCCCAAAGTCCCACATTAGCCTGAAGTCACTAATATTACTAACAGAATAAGAAAAGAAAGAGCAGAAAGGTTACGTGCAAATAAACCATCCTACCTCAGAGGTGCAAAGCCTAGTTCGCTTTGGTGAAATAAGGAGTCAGACCCAAACTCTTGGTCTTGTGTCGGACATGTCAGCAAAGGCAAATCAGGAGAAGCAAAGCTATCTTGTATGACTGTAAAGTTTCAAATACAAAAATGCTGAGTAATGCTGAAAATCAATTATTTAGCTTACTCAAGTAGTATTTTAAAGCATCTAAACAAGTTGCCATCTGGAAGTACGCACAAGCATTAGAATAATAACATAACAGCAGCAGTAGCAGCTACCAATTACTGAAAGCCTAAGGTCCAGGCACTTAACATACAATATTTCATTTAAACTCTCACGACAACCTTGAAAGAGAAGTATTAGTATACTTATAAGTGAGGAAAAATACTATTTGTTTCTATTGAAACAAAAATTATCATAAAATCAATAGCATTATATTTAAAATTAATTTAACTTGATGGGTGATGTTTTGCTAAAACTAAATTGCTTTTTCAATATGACTGTAATACTGATTGCTACAGTACAGTTTCTTGATTTCAAAATGCCTATAATACTGTGTAGAAAGTGAGGACTCCACTTTCTCATCACTGTTCCCCCTGAAATTACTACAAACCAAGGGTTCGCAAAGCTCACTACGGTATCTTCTGCCTTTCACCTGCTGCTCTCATACACCCTTCTCACCTTACCTATCATTATTCATCACACTCTTGTTTTAATCTTTGGTCTATCTGCTTCCCATCTAAATTGTCAACTCCATGTCTGCTTTACTAACAGTTATATCCTCAATTCCTAGCAAAGTACCTGCTACACTTAGTAGGTACCTGAAATAGATTCATTTATTGAATGAATTAAAAATGAGAAACTGATAGACAACCATTACCACCAAGGAACAATTGGTATGGTTCCTCTTTGGCCTCAGCTTAGAGAATCAGTCTTAAATCTTCATAATAGTCCTTCGCCCACCGAGAATCATGAAGAGTTTTTAACAGTCCCCATATACACTAAGGCTAATGCTACAAGGGGGACTCATGGGCAAGTATGGCAAATTTACTAGTACCGATTAACTATAGACTAAGTATTTAAAGAATTTGAGAGACTTTTCTAAAAAAAATTAGAGTTATCCCTAACCAGGTGCAGGAACCTACAGAAATCCTTATTATCTGAAATAACTATTTAGGTATAACTAAAGAATAGTAAGTAATAAGTAGGCAGCATTTCAGCATCTCCTTAAATATTTAAGAATATTTCAAAGTGCAACTGGAGAGTTAGAACAGGTATTAATAAATGGGAAAATGTATCTGCTAAAGGAGCAGGCCAAAACTATAGAGCTGAGGTCCCCAATCCCCTAGGTACTGAGCCACACATCCTGCCTGAGCCCAGCGCCACCCCCTGCCCCGCAGTCCCCCAAAACCCGCCCCTATCCATGGAAAAATTCTCTTCCATGAAACTGGTCCCTGGTGCCAAAAAGGATGGGGACTGCTGCTGTAGAGGATGGATATGCGTGTATTTGCATAGCGGGAAGGCTGTATATGTTACTGGCAATGCCTTTTTCTTACAACTTTCAACTGCTTATGTCCTCACATTTGGACAGCTGTTAACAGCTTGGATCCCTCTTTTCTGAGGTATTTAACCATTCTGGCACCAGTCATCATCATGACATTTGCCATTGGTGACAGCCTAAATACCACAATGACGGTACTTATGCATAATAAAACAGCATGATGGAATTTTCTCTAAATTATTGGATTTGCTCCAATAATTTAAAATGTTCTACTTTACCTATAGTAGGGGAGAAGCTAGAGTTATAAAACTTTACATTAGAAAACACTTCAGAGGTCACATCATACAGTCTCTTACCCAGTGCTGAAATCCTTCTACTACAGAATTTTGCTTGACATCTCACAGTAACATAAAGCTCACCTTTTGTTGTTGTTATATAGGCTTTTCCACTATTAAATGGCTCTATTAGAAAGCTGTTTCTTAGATCAAGTTGAAAAACAGCCTCTCTATAAGTTATATACTCATTTTAACCTCTAGACTAGGAGTTAGCAAATATTCTTTGTTAAGGGACAGATAGCAAATATTTCAGGTTTTGTCGGTCATATATAAACTGTTGCATATACTTCTTTTGTTTGTTTTTACAATTCTTTAAAAATGCAAAAACCAAGCTTTGGCCTGTCCATTGTAGTTTGCAGACTCTTGCTCTAGACCACACTCATTCCGTGATACTGTTATTTTCTGTTTACTGGATTGTCTTCCCAGAAGAGGAGGTAGCTTTCATCTATATCCCTAGCATCAAACACATAGTAGGTACTTAGATATTTATTACCTAAATGAATGAATAAGAAATAAGTTGCTTCCTCTTTAGCATGGCAGCCCTTTAAATATCTCATCATAGCAAGGTCTTCTCTTTCATCTACTATCATAATCATCTCTTCCCACAAAGGTACTTTAATTTTGTTAACATCTTTCTTAAAATGTCGACCTAAAATTGACTTTAAGGATCCACATCATAGAACACGTTGGCACTAATATCTTGATTTGGATAGCAATGGCTTATGTTTGAAAAGAACTTGTGAATTAATTTGCTTCTCTACAAAACCATAAAACCATCTTCATGACTGAATCCCTTGATGATTTGAAAAGTACTTAAAGTTTATCTTTTGTAAAGAGCTAACAAATCAGTTCTACACTAAACAGAGGAAAGCAGTTAAGATCGACCTCACTCAACCTCTTTACCTCAATTTTTTGGTGTGAAAGCTGGGGATAATAACATATGCTTTAATTAATTCTAAGAACCAAATGAGGTAAATGTGAACATTTGTTTTTTGTTTGTTTTCTAGGGATCTTGGAGTCTGGACTCCAAATTCAGGACTGAGAAGGCACACCCACTAGAGAGGAAGTTATCACTTTTCTGCCTTCTATGAGCAATAGGACATGATGAAATAAGGGGCACATTTAATATAACTAGACCAGCTGGCCAGTGTGAAAAACCAGAAATAAGCCCATCCCTTTGAGTATGGTTCTACAGAGCTCCTCAACTCAAAAAGTATTTAGTTACAGGACTCGCAGTCCCTAAAAACTGTTTTATAAATATGAGGTATTACTACTAGTTAAAAATAAGGAGGCATTACCTAACAATGGAGAACATAAGAGATCTCTGTTGGGTTCCTTTACTTGATATGATTGGGTCAATACACCCTCCTCCACAGAGGGGAAGTCTGTCACTTCAGTTCCTTCCGCTGTTGCACTAAACTCGGTCTGAGGTGTAGCCAAGGGTAGGGAAGAGTCCATTCCTTGAAGAAGACAATGCCAAGATTCTATTCTCTGAAACAATAATTTTAAAGGAAAACATGCTAAGTCATTAGCTGAGTTACAATACATATTAACATTTAGATTAAAATGTTCACTGATGTAGCATATAGCTTCCTATTTAATGACATTCTTATTAAAGTTTGGAAAATGTAAAGTTGTTCTTTCTATATTTTTCACAATATTAACTATATTTTAGGCCGGGCACGGTGGCTCACGCCTGTAATCCTAGCTCTCTGAGAGGCCAAGGCGGGCAGATTGTTTGAGCTCAGGAGTTCGAAACCACCCTGAGCAAGAGCGAGACCCCGTCTCTACTAAAAATAGAAAGAAATTAATCAGACAACTAAAAATATATAGAAAAAAAAAAATTAGCCGGGCATGGTGGCGCATGCCTGTAGTCCCAGCTACTCGGGAGGCTGAGGCAGTAGGATCGCTTGAGCCCAGGAGTTTGAGGTTGCTGTGAGCTAGGCTGACGCCACGGCACTCTAGTCCAGGCAACACAGTGAGACTCTGTCTCAAAAAAAAAAAAAAAAAAAAAAAAAAAATCTGTTAACCTGAGAGGAACTACCTGCTATTATGTAAATCTGTTACCCCTGGCAATTATTCACTATTTCCTATAAGTTACCATGTAAGACCTCATTCAGGGCTTTTGAGACCCAGGAGAGGTCTAAGCCCCCTGAGCTCCCGCTTTGCCTATAATCTTTATAAACTTATAAAACTATATCTTCGTCTCAGTGTATTCTTTTATTTCTTCCATTTTCCATTTCTCTCTATTATTTTCTTATCCCTTGCAACTCTACCAAAGGGACCCGGTTTTTTGCGGGAACACTAGCCACGTTCCCGGCACATGAAGACAACTATCCTGTCACATTTACAATTTTCATCATTCCTTTCTTATTTGTATATCCGTCTTCATTCCTCTGAGAGTTCACAGTCCTCCTTATAATCACCACCTTGCAAACATCCTTAACTTTCTTGCATTTTTCTCCCATTACTCTGTTTGCCAGGTAAAAGTTAATGCTGGTTAAACCTTCTTCCTGCCTGAATTCAACAGCAGCGTGTTGCTGGAGAAATCATACACCCCAACTGACTGGTTTTCCTTTAAATTGATGACATTAAACCTCAAGGGCACTCAGTATTGCCTGGAAATCCTACATTTTCCTGGTGAGCTGACTCTCTAAAATGATTATGTTATACTTTCTCTCTCCTCAGAGCTATTAAACTATCCTTCATTTTCAACTGATGACCTCATCTCCTACTTCAATCAGTATACAGCAGTGGACAGGAACTCCACTGTCTCCCTATCACCATTTGGTGATCTACAACACCACTATCAGATTTCTACCTTACGACTTTTAAAAAAAGGTCTCTCAGACCAGGTGCAGTGGCTCACCCTGTAATCCCAGCACTTTGGGAGGCCAAGGCAGGAGGATCACTTGATGCCAGTAATTTGAGACTTAAGTGAGCTATGATCATGCTACTGTACTCCAACCTGGGCAACAGAGCAAGACTCTGTCTCTTAAAAAAATGTTTTTAAAAAGTCTAACTCTTAAAGGCCTTTCCATCTCATTTCATTTTTTTCAATGTTTTCCCTCCTATATGTAATTCTCCCACTTTCCTTCATTTTTCTCTCATTACTAAATCATTCTTCTCCCCATGTAAACATATTCTTATAATTTCCCATATTATAAAATGAATTTTAAAATAACCTCTGTTCAACATTCCTATTCTTTCTGCATCATGCATTTTGTTCCTATGTTTCTATCACACAAAGATTCTCTGTGTTATACCTTTTAAATCAATATAAAAATGCCAACAAATCTCTAAATATTTTTGAAAGATGTGAGTAGGGATAACAAATAAGTATTCAGAAAAACAATTTTGAGGGAGAAGTAAATGTTGGAGATACAAATTTGCAATTTACCAATATACAGATATATTTAAAGCCCTGGATCTAGATGAGAATCAAAAACATTTCAACATTTGGAGCAGCAGTCAAAAACTCAAATGTGTATAGGGGGCCAGAGAGGAGGGACAAATGAAGGAATCTGGGCCAGGCACAGTGGCTCACACCTATAATCCCAGCACTTTGGGAGGCCGAGGTAGGAAGATCACTTGAGCCCAGGAGTTCAAGATCAACCTGGACAACACAGTGAGACACCATCTCTATATAAAATAAAAAATAAAAAATTAGCTGGGCATGGTGGTGCACACCTGTAGTTTCAGCTATTCAGGAAGCTGAGGCAGAAGGATCACTTGAGCCCAGGAGTTTGAGGCTGCAGTGAGACCAATGATGATGCCACTGCACTCTAGCCCGACAGAGCAAGACCCTGTCTCTTTAAAAAAAAAGAGAGAGAGAGAGAGTGGACTCTGTCCTGGACTTAGAGAGTAATTAGACCTACAGCTAAGTATGCAGTGCATGCTCACTTTAAATTATTTTATTTCAAAATTTTTTAAACATTGTACCAAAAAAATAAGTTTTTGCAAACACATTTGAGTCATACTCAGGCCCATGGCTTACAAATTTTGATTTTGAGGTTTAACAGACAAAAATAAAGCAGCAAAAGATACTGAGAGAGAATAGCCAGAGGAGTAGAAAGAAAACCAGGAAAAGCCAAGAAAGGAAATGATGTTAATAAGTTATGTGATACTTAATAATGTCAAATACATTTATTATACCTAAGATAAGGACAGAAAAGTATTCACTGTATTCAGCTCCACAAATATTGCTGGTAACACTTGCTTTCACAGGGTTATGATCAGAACACAATATAGATAGAGTAGAAGAATAGGCACATCCTAGCCAGTGTAATAAGGCAAAAAAACAAAAAAAAAAAGGAAATATAAGGCAAATACATTAAAAAGGAAAAAATAAAATACAGTTTATATAATTGTCCACAGAGAAAGTCCTAAAGAATCTACAAAAAAGCTACTAAAACTAGTAAGTAAGATTAGCAAGGTCAAAGGACACAAGGTCAATATAAAGTCAACTATATTTCTATATGCTTGTAGACTTATATAGAAATTCAAGGAATCTAGAACAAATCATTTTTAAAAAGAGGAACAAAGTGAGAAAAATCACACTATCTGATTTTAAGACAGTATAGTAATTAAGGGTATAATGTTGACATGAGGATGGACATACAAATCAATGGAACAGAGAGTGCAGAAATAGACCCACACATACAATGCCAATTTATTTTTCACAAAGATGTCAAGAAATCCACCAGAGAAAAAGATAGCAAATGGTGCTGGAATAACAATTAAATATTCACACCATATACAAAAACCAACTCAAAATGGATCATAGACATAAATGTAAAACCTAAAACTATAAAACTTCTGAAACAGTGGTTCTCAGCTAAAGGAGATTTTGGCACCCCTCTCCTCTCAACCTTGGGACATTTGACAATGTTAGGAAACATTTTTGATGGTTACAACTTGGGGAAGTATTATGGATATATCTAGTGAGAAGAGGCCAGGGATGCTGTTAAAAATCTTATGATACACAGGATAGCCCCTTATAATTAACAATTATTCAGCCTAAAATGTCAATAGTGCCAAGGTTGAGAAACACTGGTCTAGAAGAAAATCTCTGTGACCTAGTCTTAAGTGAAGATTTCTCAGACAGGACACAAGAAGTACAAACTACAAAAGGAAAAATAAAATCAATAAATCAATTTCATCAAAATTAAAACTTCTGCTCTTCAAAGACAAGAGAATACACAGACAAGCCATTGACTGGGAGAAAATATTTTCAAAAGACATTTGATAAAAGACTTGCATCTAGAACTATAAAGAACTCTCAAAGCTCAACAAATGAAATAAAATAGCCATAAAAAATGGAGAAGAGATTTAAACAGATCTTTCACTGATGAAGAAACATGGAGGGCAAATAAGCACACAAAAAGATGTTCAATATCATTAGTTATCAGGGAAATGCACATTAAAATCATAATGAGACACCACAATATACCTTCCAGAGTGGTTAATATTAAAACAAACAAACAAAAAAACCTGATGTACTAAGAGCTGACAAGAGTGCAGAACAACTGGAACTCTCATACACTACTGGGAATACAAAATGGTATAACCACTTTGGAAAACATTTGGCACTTTCCTGTGTTAAACACACAATTACCATATCAGCCAAGAAACCCATTCCTAGGTATTTACTTAAAAGAAATGAAGTCATATGCCTACTCAAAAACCCATACATAAATGGTATACTACTCAGCAATAAAAATTAAAGTGGAACAAACTATTGATACATGCAATAACATAGATAAATCTCAAAAGCATGTGCCAAGTGAAAGAAGTCAGATTCAAAAGTTTATACACTGTATTATTCTGAGAAGGTAAAACTACAGAGACAGAAAATCTGATCAGCAGTTGCCAAGGACTAGGGGTGGGGGAAGTAATTGACTACAAAGGGACACATGGGAACTTTTTCGGGGTGATGGCAAAGTTGTATATCTCAAATGTGGTGGTGGTTGCATGACTATATATATTTGTCAAAACTCATTTAACAAACTGTACACCTAAAAGAGTGAATTTTGATATATTTAATTTATATCTCAATAAACCTGACTCTTAAAAAATAAGGGTAGGATATCAGGAAATGGAAACAAAAATGTAGACAACTGTTATATTTCACTGTGTCAGGGAGCAGAATATTGAACGGGGCAGTAGCTGTAAAGGAAGAGAAGATGAGACATTTGTACTCAAGTTGCTAGCAATGACAAAGTCTGAACTCTGACCATGGAGGAGTAGGAGAAAGCTGAAAGGAGATACGGAGGGAAAGATTGCTGGAGGTTAGATCAAAGGCCTGAGAACTTCAGGCATTGGATGGGTAATGTATTAATAAGTTGAAATGAGAGAAATAAAGAGAGGAAGACATTGTAGCAAGAACTGTAGTTTTCAATTAATAAAGAGTGGTAACTCAGATGACAGCAACGCAGATAAATAATGAGCAGAGTAATCAGAAGGAAAAAAAGAGAGAAGAGAATTAGACAGTTGCATAATGTTCCAGCTATTCTGAGGAACCCAGGTACAAAGGCTTTGGGATTCATCATGATTCGTATTTTATAAGATGGGGACAAAATGAAGATATCAATTTTTGGACTATGCTCTACCATAAACATGCCCTCAGAGAATATTGAATTATTTAGGAATATATCCCTGTATTAGTTTCCTAGGGCTGCCATAACAAAGTGACACAAACCAGGTCACTTAAAACAAAAGAAATTTATTCTCTCATAGTTCTAGAGTCCAGAAGTTTGAAATCAAGGTGTTGACAGGGTTGTACTCCCTCCGAAGCCTCTAAGGCAGCCTTGTCTTATGGCAGCATAACTCCAATCTCTGCCTCCATCCTCACATGACCATCCTCTCCTTGTGTGTCTTTTTCTTCACATGGCATTCTCCTATCATATAGGTACACCAGCCAAATTGGATTGAGGGCCCATGCTACTCCAATATGACCTCACTTTAACTGAAATAATTGTATCTGCAATCACCCTATTTCCAAGTAAGGTCACATTCTGAGGTACTGGGGATTAGGACTTCAACATATCATTTGAAGGGCACAGTTTCACCCAAAACAATTCTCCTCCATTTAATGGCCCCAGTGTACTACTGTGCTTTTTTCTGGTCAAGGTTTCCCTTAATTCCTTTTCCTCAGTAACAGCAAATCTCCCTTCCTTCATATTTCACATCTAATGGGTAACCACTGCAATTTAAGGAAAACTGAAGGTAGAAGAAATATGCTACCCAAGTTATTAGATAACCAACCTTACAAATATTTAACCATCATAAAAGTGAGGCTGCATTTTTCCTCCAATAACCATATATGAGCCTTTTTCCTATCTGCTCACGATTTTCGCATTTCTTCAAAGTTAATGACTATGTTCTAGAACAAGGTTCTGAAAGTGTGGTCCAGGGACCCCTGAGGGTCACTGACATCCTTTCAAGGAATCTATGACAGTCTCCTTTTTCTAACTACCTATTTATGTAAGGCCAGAATGTCTTCATATACTTCAACCAAAAACATTTCAATAGACTGAATGCAGAAGCAGATATGAGAATTCAGCTATCATGGTAAATTTTATGTGTCAAAACGACTGGGTCACAGGATGCCCAGATATTTGATTAAACATTATTTAGGGTGTGCAGATACACATTATTTAGATACACTCCATGTGAGTGTATCTGGATGAAACTGACATTTGAATTTGGAGACTAAGTAAAGCAGACTGCCCTTCCCAATGTGGGTGGGCCTGATCCCATACACCGAAGGTCTAAATAGAACAAAAGGCTGAACAAGAGGGAAATTGCTCTCCCTGCCTGATGGCCTTCCAGCTGGAGGCTCTTCTGCTTTCAGACTCAGACCAGAATTTATACCACTGGCAGTCCTGGTTCTCAGATCTTTGGGCTCAAACTGTAACTGTACCATCAGCTCTCCTGGGTCTCCAGCTTGCAGATCTTGGGACTTCTCAGCCTCCATAATCACATAAACCAATTCCTTATAATAAATATTGACAAAGATATACATCTATCTATATGTAGACAGATATATATGACTGCATCCTATTGGTTCTATTTCTCTAAAGAACCCTGACTAATGCACCAACTGGCTTCTGTTAAGCCAGATGTTAAAGAGATTTACAAAGATGTAAAACAGTGCTACTCTTCCAATTAATTGTTTTTGGTTTCGGAAAATAGTCATTTTTCACTTTAAAATATACTACTTATGGTAATATGTAATGGGTGTGTTCTTTTGAAATAAATTTTAAAATAAATGTTTTTAAATGTTTTTATTTCTTGTATGTTAAATATCTATATAGATAATCCACATAAACAAAAGCTCTTTAGAATACTTTTTAAGAATATAAAGAGTTCTGAGACCAAAAAAAGTGAATTGCTGTTCTACATAAAGGTTACGAAGATCTATTAGAAAAACAGAATATTAGGCTGGGCACAGTGGCTCATGCTTGTAATCCCGGCACTTTGGGAAGCCAAGTTGGGAGGACTGCTTGAGGCCAGGAGTTCAGGAGTTCAAGAATTCAGAAGACTAGCCTGGACAACAGAGTGGGACCCCATTTCTACAAAAAATAAAAAAAAAAAAATTAGCTGGGTGTCGTGGCATCTGCCTGTAGTCCTAGCTACTCAGAGGCTGAGCCAGGAGGATCACTTGAGCCCGTGAGTTTGAGGTTACAGCTGACTATGATTGTGCCACTGCACTCCAGCCTGGGTGACAGAGGGAGACCTTGTCTCAAAAAAAAAAAACAAACCCAAGAATATTAGAGCAATTTACTTCTTTCTATTCTTCACAGCTAAATCAGAATTTCTTATGCTTTTTATCTAAAGAAAATGTTTGCCAGTTACAGAAGACATACCTGATCATCCCCAGAACCCCACTGAGCTGTTGTTTCTGGTGCATTTGTGTCAGAAATTTGTGTTCTACTATTGCCTTGATGACATGACTGTTGCCATACATAACAGGTCAATGGAACAACCTAAAAATCAAAAGCAGACTTAACTAGAGTCATAACACAACCACTACAATTATACAACAATAAAAATACTTTAATATTTAGATCATACTTCTCAGTTTATAAAGTTTATAAAGCATATATATTTCACATATATATTTCCACTTTGCAACCACTATCCAAGCTATTATTCTCACTTAAAAATAAGGAAATAGGGTCACATTTTCTCAGGGCCTCTTGAGGCCATTTGTGCCACCATGTAAGCCCCTGCGCACAGTGATACCAGCACTTTGGGAGGCTGAGGCAGGAGGATCATTCGAGGGCAGGAGTTTGAGACCACCCTGGGGAACATAGTGAGACCTCATCTCTAAAAAAAATTGTTTTTAAATTAGCCGGGTGTGGTGGCACATGCCTATAGTCCCAGCTACCCAGGAGGTTGAGGAGGGAGGATCGCTGGAGCCCAGGAGTTCAAGCCTGCAGTGACCTGTGATTATGCCACTGCACTCCAGCCTGGGCAACAGAGCAAGACCCTGTCTATTTTTAAAAAAAGAAAAGGAAAAAAAAAAAAAAAAAGGATGGGGTCATAAAGTAAAACAGGCAGCCATGAGTTAAGAAAAGATGAATGCTAACAAAAAAATTAATAACTCCAAATGTAAAAGTCATTAAAAAGGTTGAGATAAATACTAAATAGAACACAATTAAAGGCAAAATAAGTAAGTTGTAAGTTACCACCCAATAGTAGCACACAATGGGTTAAACACAAGAAAACTATGAAAGAAACTGGAAGAGACATGGGAGTACTTTGAGGGGCCATAACATAGACCATTTAGAAGTTTTCAGGTAAAGTACAGCAGGAATAGTAAAGTAATATCTGATAGCTAATGGATCTACACCAACCAGAAAAGAGAACCCAAGGATATTATGACCAATTATATCTTTTTTTTTCAACCTATTTCAGAGGCAAGGGACCAGTTCTATCAATTTCTGTGTCTGCATAGATCAATGGAACAGAATAGAGAACCCAGAAATAAAACCACATATCTATAACCAACTGATCTTTGACAAAGCAGACAAAAATATACACTGAAGAAAGGATATAGTATTCAATAAATTGTTCTGGGAAAATTGGATAGCCTCATGCAAAAGATTGAAACTGCATATCTCTCACAATACATAAAAATTAACTCAAGATGTACTAGAAACTTAAATGTAAGACCTGAAACAATAAAAATCCTAGAAGAAAATCTAGGAAAAACTGTTCTTGACATTGGCCTAGGCAAAGACCAAAAGCAAATTCAACAAAAACAAAAATAGACAAATGGGACTTAATTAAACTAAAAAGCTTCTGCACAGCAAAAGAAATAATTAAAAGAGCAATAGACAACCTACAGAATGGGAGAAAGTATTCTCAAACTGTGTCCAACAAAGGAGTACTATCCAGAATCTACAAGGAACTCAAACAACTCAGCAAGAAAAAAACAACTCCATTAAAAAGTGGGCAAATGACATAAATGGGCATTTTTCAAAAGAAGACCTACAAAGACCAAAAAACATTATGAAGAATGTTCAACATCACTAGTCAGTAGACAAATGCAAATTAAAACCACAATGAAATATTATCTTACTTTAATTAGAATAGCCTTCATTAAAAAGAAAACAATAGATGTTAGGGATGCAGTGAAAAGGGAACACTTATATGCTGTTGGTGGGAATGTAAATTAGTACAACTTCTACGGAAAGCAGTATGAAGATTTCTCAATCTTCAAAGAACTAAAAGTAGATCTACCATTCAATCCTACAATCCCATTATGGATATATACCCAGAGGAAAAGAAATCATTATACCGAAAAGACACCTGCGCTCATATGTTTATCACAGCACAACTCACAGTCACAAAGATATGGAATCAACCTAAGCACCCATCAACTGATAAGTGGATAAAGAAAATGTGGTATGCATATATCAGGGAGCATTACTCAGTGATAAGAAAGAATGAAATAATGTCTTTTGAAGCAACTTGGATGGAACTGGAGGCCATTATCCTAAGTGAAATAAATCAGAAACAGAAAAATAAATACTGCATGTTCTCACTTATAAGTGGGAGCTAAACTATGGCTACGCAATGACACACAGAGTGGTACAATGGACAGTGGAGACTCAAATGGAGGGGGAGGGGTTCGGAGGGGTATAGGATGAAAAATTATCTACAGGGTACAATGTACAGTATTCGGGTGATGGGCACTCTAAAAACCCAGACTTCACTGCTATACATGTAATGGAATTCAACTTTTACCCCCTAAATCTACTAAAATGAAAAAACAAAAATTTTCTGTGCTTGATAACAGGCAGAGCAACTAACTTGCTACAAATTACCAAAGGTGCAGAAAGAAACTTGTTAAAATTAATAAGAACTCTTTTATATGCATAATTGAGCTCAAAAGAAATTCGGAAAAGTCACTACAGCTAAATAACAAATAGGAAACTAAAAATCAAAGCAGTAATTGAATAATCACAAAGTCTAATGTCTCATAGTTCTAATTTGTATAACCTAGCCCTCATGTAGGTTTGGGGCTAAAATTTATACCCCTTCATGTCTGAAATCACAAGCTGGAAAATCAAAAGTGATTCTAGGTTAGTAACACCTCAAAATGCCTGATACAAGCAAAATACATAAGACAACAAATAAAAATTTTAAAAAATAAGATGAAAGAAATATATCTGTAATTATAATAAGTGTACATGTGCTAATAACAGTAGTTTAGAGAAGAGACTGTCAGATCAAATTTTAAGAGATATATGTTATTTGTAAGCTACATGTTATTTATAACAAATATACCTAAGTCATAAAGACACAGAATGTTTAAAAATAAAAGTACAGAAAATAACATGCCAGAAAAATATTAAAATAGATTACTTACCTACATATATACGCACATATAAAATACTGTTTCACATCTTAGATTCTAAGTGTATCTTTTCTACCTGTTTTTGACTCATTTACATATTTTAGTTTTGAAAATACTTCCTTTTTTGAATGGATGCTATTCTTCTTTCCTTTATCTCTTCTGTACCAAATTAATGTTATACCAGGGTTTCTCAACATTGGCACTATTGATATGTGGGGCTGGGTAATATTAATACTTTGTTGTGAGAAGCTGCCCTTTGCACTGTAGGATGTTCAGCACCAACACTGGCCTCTATCCACTAGATGCTAGTAGCGCCCCAGATCCCTCCAATTAGTGACAATGAAAAAATGTCACCAGACATAGCCAAATTCCCTTGGGAGCCAAACAGCTACAGCTGAGAACTACTGTGTTACGCAAATCAATACTGAGAAGAAAAAAAAGACACTACTGAGTATAAAGCATGATAACTACATAATGATTAAATTACCAAGTCTTCTAGGACTGCAGTCCCAAACTCCTGAGCCATAGACCGGTTTGTGGCATGTTTGGAACCAGGCCACACAGCAGAAGGTGAGTGGCAGGAGAGTGAGTAAAGCTTCATCTGTATTTACAGCCACTCCCCATCACTCACATCACTGCCTGAGCTTCTCCTATCCCATCCCCATCCACCAAAAATTGTCTTCCAAGAAACTGGTCCCTGGTACCAAAAAGGTTGGGGACTGCTGATTTAGAAGATATAACAATTCTTGAATTGCATACCTCTAACTAAATATTTTAAGGCTATCTTAACAAAACTATACGAAGAAAATAAACCTACCATCATAGTGGGAGAATTTTAACATATCTTTCTCAATAATTGACAGGTCAGACAAAAAATAACCAAGCAATGTAAGAACAAACTTGATCCAATAACCTTACATAGAACTTAGTACCCAAAGAGAAAAAACAAAAACTCTATTTTCTACTTCTATATTTCTAAATAATTCAAATAGTAATGGA